GCAGGGTATCATCTGGATTTGCACGAGCCGTATTGGCATCAACCAAAAGCATGCAAGGTGGTTACATTGTTGGTGCCAGAATGCGCTCCAAGAGAAAGTTGTAAAACTGGCAGACATGCAGTCGGTGCTTGGTCGCATGCGTTTTGCCTTTGCAGCCCTTGAGCACCTGCGGCCGTTTCTGGGTCCCATTTACAAATGGGTGGCTGCCTTGAAGCACGTGCAAGCGGCCAGAACCCCAAAAAAAGTGGTTGAGCTTTCCTTGCAGTACATTGCTTACATGCTGGAGGGTGGTGCAAGGCAGCATCGGGGTTGCCCCAGCTTGCTGCAAAGGCGTGAGCTGCTTCGCACCGACGCCAGAGCATGTGGGGAAGAGATTTGGATTGGGGGCTGTTCCCTCGACAGCACCAACCTTGAGGAGTGCCGTTGGTACAGTGACATGCTAAACCGCCAAAATGCATTCTGGGCATTTTTGGCCGGGGAGCTTTTTTGCGCCATTGCAACGTTGGAAATGCTGGCAACTTTGGCTGCGCTGGTGGTATTCGAAAACGATGCAGAGGGTCGTTCAGCCTCCACCGGCAACCTGGGAAATGCATGTGTGCTCCGGAGGTGGTGAAAAACCACTTATCCATTATCATGTGTGGTCATGGAGATAGCTGCAATCTTGCAGCATCGCAGCTTGGAGCTGGACTTGGAATGGGCCCCACGGCTGCAAAATGTGCATGCCAACTCCCTGACCAATGCTGCGCATTAGGTTCTGCTTGGATGATTCTGAAGGCATTGTTTTGCAGAAAATGTTCAAAGCGGGAGCTGAGCCTTACAGTGAAGTTCAGACGAGTGTTGCGGCGAAACAGACGGCGCATCGCTGCGTATCAGAGATCCATCAAATGAAAGACCCAAGAGTCTGCGCCAATGTGAGGCGGCGGGGAATAGGCATGGGACGACCTGCGGTTTGGGTTGGCCTGTGGGACATAGGTTATGTCCCACATGTTTACTTTGGCACTCCCTGCTTTTACCCTAGGTTTCAGTTTTGAATGTCAATCCTGCTCTGGTTCCGTGGAGTGGACCACTGTCCACCGGAGGGCTCTAGTGGTAAGGCTTTGCCTGGCATACGTTTATGCTGCTAGTCTGGCGCCTTACTTGTTGTTTCTCGTGCCCCACCCTCGGCCACCCTATGGCGCGAGAGGTTGCCATTGGCGCCCATGCTGGGCCTACCTTGGCATATGCCTATGCCGGTAAATGTTTCGCTACCCAATCTGCAGTAGAAAAGGAGTCCGTGCGGTGCACTCCCTGGTTTTACCCTAGGTTTCAGTTTTGAGGGTCGATCCTGCGCTGGTCCCTTATATGATCCCCGATCCATGCAAGCAAGCAATTAAATGGAAGGAGCTAAAGCTCATTTTTCGAAAATAGATTTAAGTGTTTTATTTTCTATTTTCCCTTGGGTGGCTGGAGCACCTTTTCATATATTTGCGTATCCAGATCGATTCGATATTGTGAATGGTGCTGGTGCTGGATGTTCTTGCTGAGGCTTGAGCTCAAAGCTCAATTCACACATTGGGGGGTCAGACCTAGATTTTATTTTTGCAGCTAGTTTTGGCTCCACAACGGAAGCATTTTTTTGCGGACAGAGTGCTACGTGTGGCCATGGGAGTGCCAGACAATGGGGTGATTCCAACCGTCCAGGACCAAGAGTCCTGTTCCTGTTGCGCAAGCCAAGTGCAAACAGTTCCACACACCCTTTTTGAAATCCTCCACATGCCTTTTTACCAACATTGTTTTGTGAGGCAGACCCAGTGGACAAGTCAGAGACGGCTGAGCCGAAAGATTGTTCTGAGCAGGAGATGCGACGGTGTTAGTGTGGCAGAATAAGGAAGATTGTAAGCAAAGGATTCCAAGATCCAGTGTGTTTTGCTCACTGTTTGCAATAAAGTGCATCGTTCTCCACCTGACCCATTGTAAGTGCTATTTTGTGGTGCAGAGGACACGGATGACGCCATGCTTCCGATTGATCAACATGCACCTGAACCATCCCTGAAAGACCCCAAAGCAGATGCTCCAGCTCGAGGTGAAAAGAGTGATCAGAGTGCCATTCGCAAAAGGAAGCGAGGGGCACGAGGGTCAGAACGTGCAAATCAATCCGGCAAAGACAGGACCGTTTCCACATTGCTGGAAGAGATGAAATCACAGGATCAACTTGGTTGCCACATCCCATCTCCACTTGAAAAATTGATTGGTATGGCTGGCCCTCTGGTGTTTGAAGGCTTGTTTGTAATGTTTGGCCTCTACCATTTTATTTTGCAAAAGTTTGGCTGACAAGGGGTAGAAAAGGGGTCACTGCCACTGCATGAGCTGTTCCAGGCTGTTCTTGTTTGGGCTTTGTTGCGTTGATGGCTTTCTTTGGGGTGGACCCTATCGATTTCATTTGGCGTGCTTGAGGCAGTCCCAGAGAATTTCCGGCGGAGCAAGGCCGGAGGCAGATTGATCATGCAAGAGATCGAGAGGCTCATGTGCCTGGAGCGCCGGATCTACCAAAACAAGAGCATCATGCGCGCTGATGGGACTTTGGATCTCAGAGATCTTCCAATGGACCTCCCGCGCCCAGTGTTTGAGGAGTTGAAGCAGCGTGCCCCAGAGTTCTTTTCGCGGTTCTTTGCCAGCACACGTTCGCGGCAGGAATATGGAAGCAAGGTGCACGGGCTCCTCTTGTCAATTCAGAATCACCTCGGACGCACCCCTCCTGCTCGGGCGTCATTGCGCAGGCTTCTTGCAGACATAGTTTTAGGATCCGTACAGGCACTGTGGGACTCGCAATGACGAGCTTTTCTGCGACAGGTGAGTGCAAGACGAGAAAAACTTTCTGTCAGCGGCAGCGGTTTGGGGGCACTTGGGATGGCAGAAAGTGTGAGAAATGAAAAACCGGTTCGAGGTCGAACAAGGCAAAGGTCGGAACGAAGCCAGGTTTACATGCCTCACCTTCTATTGTTGATTGTGGTTGTAGAAGGTCAGCTCTGTGCATTTCATTTTGTGGGAGTGCAAAATATTTTCCAGGCCCAACCCTTTGATGAGCACCAATCGGGGATTTATGTTTTAAGATCATATATGTCGGATGGTTCTCTTTTTTCGAAGGGCCGCCTTAGCGGACAACCCCAGGCTGGAGACTAACGAATGACCCCAGTGAATGCCAGATTGCACTTCAACAGAGATTTTATTCCTGACGTCAACGCTTTGGACTTGGATGGATCAGTCGCAATTCTGACCGGGAATCCAAACATTAAACATGAGCACTTCCATGAATTCCAGGGCTTTCAAACAATACTTGATCAACAAGGTACAACAAGATGTACCTGTAAAAACCCAAGCATCGTAAAGGACCCTTTTGAGCAGCGCAAGGGCAAAATCTTGAATTTTTCGTACCGTGCTGTTTTTCCTTACGAACTTCACGGTCCTGGGAGACGGCTCGCTCCAAAGGTACTGGTTCGACGGAACCCCTCGAAATTCAGGGGGGAGAAGCGCCGGTGGCACCCAGGCGGATGCGGATGGCAGGGTTCGGGAAGGCCCCTTTTGCAGAAAACGCTAGTAAGAATCCCTGGATCTGGTGTGTTCATGCATTCATTTTCAGGTCTAGTCGAGGATGGGTTTTGAAGAATGTTTGCAGCGTGTTGGCAGCCAAAGACACACGCGATTCAGTTCCAAGTTGTTCAACGACTGCCGTTTAACATCGTTTAACACACTGCTGTTTTAAGTGTTGTTTTTTGGTAGGTCGCTGGAATGGATGGACAGTGGGAAAAGGCAACTGGTTGTGTGTGTTTGTGGCAAAGTCCATTGCAAACCCAATGGCCTGGTGTTCCAATAAATTTGCCGTTTGGATTCTCGAATGTGTTTCTCAGGTTGCTATAGCTATTCTCTGTATGACTCCAGTCTCGCACACCACCCTCGCACCTGGGTGACGTGGTGATCTGAAGCTAAGGACTGGAAGATTTGGATGAGTCGGAGGAGGACATGTTTGGAGTGACGGACGATGCTTCTGGTGACGGAGCATGTTTGGACTTTCGCGGGGGGATTGAAGGGGCCGGGGACAAAATTATTTGCACGCGATCTTGCAGGTGCTGTTCATCCACTCTTTCATTCAACGGAGTTCAACAAGTTTTGTTTGTTGGGGTATCTAGGGACTTCCAGTCTTGTTTGGATGGTTCATGTGTTTGGGGCTTACCACTTATAGTGGATGGAGAGGAGATGCCACAATCCCCAAAAGGTTGTTTATATGGACCCCGATCTAAAAGACATCTTGGGGGTTGTGCCATCTACTCTGAAGCCACTGTACTTGTTTTGGACGTCCCGTCCAACAGTATGTCAGACATCTGTCTCAGGGCAACGTTTTGGCACCCAAAAGCTGGCGTTACACTCCTTGGAATGATCATGGAAGTGGCAAAATGGCCGGATGATGACGACCATTTTCCTGTACAAACAGGTGCTTTCCCACTTTCATGATATTTTAAGGTGAGTGTACCTGGCGACCTGACTTTGCTGAGCAGGACGAGCCCAACGAGGCGTCCTCGGCGCCGTGGAAGGGCGCCCAGCGAAGCTCTGCGAGGAGGGAGACGCCCGCCGAGCCCGGGGCGCTCAGCGGGTTGGGGAGCGGTGGGCCACGGCAGAGACGACAGGAGGGAGAAGCAGAAGCGCATGAAGGAAAGCGATACCCCCCTATATCTAGACATGGTAAATGATGAGACATGTATTTATTTGACTTTCACTGTTCTGGTGTTTTTGTAGATGATGTTTGTTTAGCCCACCAATTAGGTCGAAGCTAAGGTGGCCCAGGAGGTGAAGGAAAGTTTGTCACAGTTGGGTTCTGGGACGCTTGAAGTGGGTGTGGGGTGAAGACCTATCACTGTTTCCTATGTTCACCGGTGAGTGGCCAACCCTCAATTGGTTCCCCTATGCTGACCACAAACAGGCGGAAGAAGGTGAAACCTTGTTTCCCTGGGACACTGAAGGGGTCAGTGATCAGTAGAAGAGACAGAACCAGCTACACAATTTTACATATACAATCAAAGTAATAGAACATTGCTCTTTGCTCAACATGTCAAATCAGAGTCTAGCAAAGCCATTCCCCCACAACATCCCACAACATACTTTAAACAGGCATCCAACACAAAAAACTAAACAATCTCGCCAGCAAGGAAGCCCGAAATCTACCAACAAAGACAAGAACACAGTAACTTCAGTCAAGAAATGAACCAAGACACACGCTTGCAAAAATAACTCAAATGAAGCTTGGATACGTCTTCACACCAGGTTATAGACATGGTTATAAGTGTTCACACATGTCTATGTCTTAATGAACTCACTGAACACATGTGAGTTTCCCACCATAAGAAGACCATGAAACCGACACCACGTCCTAAGGCGTCGGGCGCGGCTCTTCTTGGCCGAGCAGCTGCGAGCCAGCGACCAAGCCGGCGACCAAGTGATCGGTTGACACCGGAAGAGGCACCACACATCCTATATAGGTGGTCCCCCAAAAGATCGAATTTTTCGTGGGGATCTACTTTGACTGTTTCTTTGGGGGTCTCTATAGGCCACACGTTGATTACCACACCCCCCCATTAGTGGAGACGAACAACCATTCTGGAGATGGGGGGGTTGATGGGGGGTTTGATGCATGAGTTGACTGTTGACGAATCAACCCCCCCAAGAGGATTGCAAGTTTGCTGGAGCCCTCATGACCCATGGCAGCGGCACGGAGTTGGCCCAGCACTGTTTGGAGTGCGCGCCGCTACACAAAACCAAGACATGCCAGGGCATCCCCAGTGAATGTTTCTATAAGATTTTATAGAATGCCCGGCAAGTGATCCCCAGCATCATCAAAAGGAATACCAAAGACCATCCAAGACCTTTGTACTGGCTTGACCAGCTATTCCCATTGTTCTTCTTTGGCTTGCGCTTTTGCAAATTTCCGGTCTGATCAACCACGCATGACCACAGGAGCCCAAGAGGCAAACATCTATCAAAGCCGAGGATGAGCAGGTCCAATGACAAAGGTCCTCCACTTTTGGGTTTGTGATGACCATTCCAAGTGGATCACAGCTACCGCAATATAGGCAACTATATATTTTCTAGGTAGTCTATGGATGTCTATGTTGCTAGCCTTTACAGAAATACTTTTGACCACCGGATCCACTGGAATGGATTACTCTAAGCCGACCAAATATCTCAAGCCTTGGTTTCTTAGGACTTACACGGTAAGCATGAAACTCTGGCCACATGCAAATGAACAATTCAAAAGTGCCAAATGAAAGTGCTCGCAGACAACGTCACGCAGCCTGTCCCGGCGCAGCCATGAATCAAAAACCTGTCAGTGGAGCACGTTTCGCCTGTCCCCGCTCTCAGGAGCACGAAGACTACGAGCGCCGCAGCCGGGAGTTGTTGAAGAAGCATCAGCAACTGCTCCAAGAGCCCGGGCGGCTCAGTGCCATACTCACGTTGCGTCATGTGTCGGAATGAGTGCGTACTACTACGGCCAGTGGATATAAGAGATCCTTTGGATGCCCTGAAACACATGCAAGAGGTTGCATGAGTTGCTGAAGTTGGGGTATCTAAGCATTTCATTTACAGTACGGCGGTAGGGGAGCACCCAAAAGCCTAACAGTTGGGAATCGGGAACAAACTCATTTTGACTTTTGACAGCCATCGAGTGCAGAGATCCATTGGGATTCTAGATGATTCTAGATCCGCTGGACTCGCATCGATTGTCAGTGTTAGCTTGCAGTGTGCTTTGTCAGATCCACCCAAAAAAAACGTATTGCTTTGCACAGTTTGTAATGCATCTCCTAGGTATCAGATTTACATAGATTTACCCAGGTATGTTACTTCAAGATCTTCGATATCATAAGAAGGTGTTTGAAACGTGTTCGCCACAGGAAAGCCGGCTAGTTGATGTGACCATGATGCGAACCCCTCACATGATCTCTCATCGATCTATTTTTTTAGGACACGGTTTGAGAACACATCATAATGATGGGATGTCGATAGCAGGGCCATGAGGGCCAAGGCCGTGGCCCGTGGCATAAGACCGGACTCCAGTTCCTGCCATCCGTTTGTTCCGGTGTAGTGTAGTAGCGGCGATGCCGGATTCCGGGTCTGAAGCAACCGCCTGGGTTCGTTTCTTTGTTTTTGTTTGCTTCAATGCATCCGAGCTTTGCCAGGGTTACTAGCATCAGAAACATGACGAAGAATTGCTGATAAAGGCCCTTTCAGAAAAGCAGCATAATCATGACAGCTATCCGCATAGAATAGACCCCATCAATGCAACCAAATCAACTCAATGCTTTGGCCTCCAACTTCACAGGCCTATGGCCACACACTACTCCGCTGGCGCCTCAGCGGCCTCGGGTGTCCTGGCGGCTGAGCTACGCTGCGACAGACAAGCCGAGACGGGCAGATCGGCAGATCGGGACCTTCCGGTCACCACCAACAGGTCTGAGGTCAAGTCTCCAACAGGGCAGGTCTGCACTCGACCTCAGAGCTGGGAGAGTGTCTCCAGGTCTTGGGCATCCGACGGAGCGCCACGGTGGAGGAGATACAACAAGCCTTCAAGGTACACGAGCCTCGTTCGCGATGGCTGTCCAAAGCCGGGCCCAATGTATCAAGAGCCTTTGGATGTGTGGCATATAGCGGCTTTTTTGCGGCATAGCCGGCTTTCTCTCCCGAAGAGGGTCGAAGATGACGTTCCAAAGAAATCCACGAGGATCCTTGGGTGGGGGCCAAGTAGGTGGTTAGCAGCAACTGACACGGCTGGGATGGGATTGGAATGAGAAAGACTTGCACGGACGTGTTTTTTCCAAATCCATCAGGAAGTAACTACACATGGTCCCACGAGTGCCCTCGGTCGCATTCTCGCGGTTGAGTTGGGGTCTAGTAACGGCATATGTAAGTGTTATATGTGGTTTCACTATGGGAGGGGTTGATGCACGGCACTGCCCCCCCCCACAAAATCGGCAACATAGCCTTAAGATCCGAATCCAACCAGCGTCTCGACGTACCACTTGGAAGGAAGGGGCATGTTCGGTTTCCAACTGGTGTACCCTTGGACTCACTACTGTAACATGCAAGTGGACAATTGCCTTTGGGAAGACTCTTTTCCCCTATCAACAGGGTTGGTCATCCACTTCCGTTTGGCCGTTTGGCCTCGGCGTTCGTTTGTTCGTTGACTTTGGTGCCTACCACTCCGCGGCACCGCACGGCGCGGATCACGGGGCTAGGCCTTGTGCAAGCTCTACCACCCGGACAAGGTCGCGACCACGCGGACCACCCGGACGGACGCGATCTTCTGGAAGGGCCACGGATAATGCAGAATGAAGCACTAGTCACTAGTCCTTGTGGTCTTGCCTGGAAACTTCGGAAGCTGACATCATATGAGCTTGTCCCAACCATGAGCACATGCTGACTGAAATGAGCAAAACTGAAGCCGGCGTGTTTGGGAGAAGCCCATGTTGACATGAACCGTAACAGGTCGATCTTTGCTTTTCGTTACCCATCAAATCTCTATGGAACAGACCACAGCGGACCTATTGGTAAGATTGCTGGTGGACAAGAGTTTGGTGTTGCATTTGTTGGGATGACAAGGTGGAGCCTGGCCATGCTGGCACTGAGCGTGCCGCGCGGGAGAGGGCCATGGTGGGGAGGCCCAGATGGGGCAAGGCCGCCGGTTTGGGCGACTCTCCACCATCCTCCACTCTTGGGGCGTGGAATGGGATGGGCCCTGGAATCCACCTGTAACTTTCCCAGGGTGACCGAAGTGGAACGCTTACCTCAGCTTAATGTAGACTCTTGATAAAAAATAACCCCCCCATATGAAGAGGATGTCCCATTCAAACGGGTCGGTTTATTAATCAAGAGTCGACAGTATACCGTTTTCAGAGAAGCTTCGTCATCCGCAATATGGTAAGCTGCTCTGACGAGGTGAAACCCTCGTGGAACTCCGGGAGCCCCGACTTCCTTCGGGCTTCCCCGCCCCGAACCGAAGACTCGCCCCGAGCCGAAGGAGGAGGCTGATTCGGAGTCCGATTTGGAGCCAAAGGTCATTTTTCGACGAAGGAACACCCAGACCCGGGTTGGTCCAGCTAGAGGTGGTGCAGAGTTTGGATTCGGCTTCTCCATCCGGGTTGCTGGGAGGGTTGCGCCGGTTGAGCTGTTTGTTTCTGTAGTCACTCAGTGATCTTAGTGTGGGGAAGAGAGCCCAATAGAAACTCCCAAGTTTAGGCTGTTCACTAGGCTAGATTCTAGATGCATTACGTGTTTGCGCCACACAGTCCCCAGCACCTCAATTGGGAAAGGATTATTTGCGTTACTTGCTACCATGTACTACCAATTACTACCATCATCCTCCATGATATTGAGCCTACAGAATGGTGGGGGTTAACCCTCCTACAGAATGCACATTTGGTAGTAAAGGGGTTTGGTCGAACGACCCCTGTGGTTGGGATGCCAGGATTTTGTAGGCAGCAAGAGGGTTGGGTGTACTTGTTTAGTAGGGAAAAGAGAGTGCATGATTTGTGGGTTGGGTGTACTTATTTGGTAGGGGAGGTCCTTCATTTTGTAAGGAATCATAATGGATGGATATGGGTGGTCAAAAACTATATAGTAAGTTATAGTATCTTAGTATCTCTTTCCCCTACAACATATTCTATGAACTAGGTTAGGCAACCCTTAGGACCATTTCCTTTGAAAACGCATACTATTCAAGCAATCTTAAACTTAGATCTTTTCAAATATGTTTTTAAACGGCTTAAAACATCAATGGAAGACAGGGGGAGAGGAGAAAAAGTGTAGAAAAAGCTAGTTAATGTTTAATTCTTAGTGATTTTCCTGGTCATATTCCTTCAGTTCCTGTCTTCCATTGATGTTTCAAGAGTTTTGAGACCATTTCTTGAAATTTAGGATTTTTTTGAAAAATGATGAAAATACCATAATGTCTAGACAGTTTCCTGGTCAAATTCACTACCGAATGAGTAGGCCCTTCCAGACGGCGTCCCATTTTGTACCAATCAGTGACCTTGGCCCCCTCCATTTTGTATAATGGCCTACCCCCTCCCTACAAAATGAGTCCATTTTTGTTGGAGTCATTTTGTAGGGATGGGACGTTGGTCGCTGACATTTTGTAGTGATTTTTACTGCCAAATAGGGACCCCGACCCCTCACCCTGAATATCAAGGATGATCTACCATCTAACTAACAGCATCCAACACCAAGCACCGCCACCGCCCAGGCCCAGCTCAACGAGGCTCATGCAGTGCTCAGCTCCGAAAAGCGCTGGGCCTACGACCGGCAGCTGCTTTCGGCAGAGAAGGCTGGCGCCGAACCAGTCGTAGTGAGTGGGGGTGGGTTAAGTTGTATAGATTGGGTGAACCAGTCGGACGAGTTCCATTAGGGGTAGCAAGTTGGGATCCCGTAGTTCCAGTGAATCTTTGTGAATCTGTGATGTTGGATGGATTGTTCTTGCATTGGGATGGAGATCAAGTTACTTGTTCATCACCAGGTGCTGATAGACCAGTTTTGCACACCTGGACCTTGATGTCCCAGTGCATGCCAAGTCACGTATATAGTCCCCGCAGTTTGGGGGCTAGCGCACCCTTGTTCCACCAGAAAATGTCACATCAGGGAAGCCCTTGGAGCGGGATGGTGGTTGCACCCTTCTAGATAGCTATAGAATGCTATAGACAGCTCCTATCCATTCGCGGCGCGCACCTTCAGCAAATTTGGAGGATTCCATCCGATAAAACAACAGTTTGTGAAGGTTCAATCTGTGGTCCGCCTCCAGCTTCTTCCGATAAAATCCCTTTCAGTGGTGTGCAGAGGTAATTACTGAACAATTTGGCCTTTGTCCGCAGGGATCAAGACCTTTGTGGGGCACTGAAGAAACATGAAGAAACAATTGAGGCACCAAATGCCGGAACATGTCCCACAATGTCACAATGTAGAGATTTTGATGAATAAAGGACCCCATATGAAGAGCTTTTGCAATCCAACCGGGGGCCCGGAACCCGGGTGTTGAATCAAGCCTTCTTCTTTGCGGGAGGGTGTAGGTAGCAGCTAGGTCCACCAGTGCCGCGGTGTCCCAGGTGGAGCCGGAGGAGGCCACGGCTGTGGGACCCAAACCCGCGCCGAGTCGAGTGCTTTGAGTGCTCTGCGCTGATCCCATAGGGTCACCACCTAGACCAAGAGCTTTAAGAGCTTGGAGAATGGTCAGATCACATATCAGCAGCGGGCTGATCCAATTGAAGTGCTACTGCGGTCAGAAAAGCAGTCAACCTAACCCCCTGATGTCTCCACTGTTACTCTAGAGGAAATGGTCAACAGGTAAAGCCAGCAACCCACGTTCAGACTGTTCTATTCATGGTTCCAATGGTCAACACGTTTTTTTAAAACACGCGGAGTCCACTCACAGTCTCACGGTCTCACAGTCGGATGTCCTTGAGGGAATCCCAAAAAGAGAGCGTTTCAGACCTAGGTCTTGCAAGCGAGGCGTGTCACTCAGACGGAGTCCGTCATGGCCTCAGGGTGCCACCATGGACAACAACCCCAAAGAACCATCAATAACTTCAAAACTGAAGGTAGAACCCCCCGATGATGGGGCATAGGTATATAGGTATATAAGAACCACCAACCCTTGGAATGCTTGTGTATCGAGAGCGAATTGCTTTCAGAAGGGTCATGGAGAATCGTTGTTCAAAGGTATTCAATGCTACATTGGTCAGACCAGGACTTGGTGGGCTGAAACCACCAATGTTAATGACTCCTCTCACGGCTGCCAAATCAGCTGGCTCAGGATTTGGCAGATGCTGACTTCGACTTCACCGGTGATGGGAGGCCATTCTCTACATCCAGCAGAGCCAAAAACCAACCAAGCACGGATAAAAATATGAGAACGTTTGACAATTGCGAGTTGCATTTGTTTGAAATCCACTCCTGGTAGATGAACTTCCTTCAAGCTAACAAATTCCTTCACTTCCCACCACCAGACCCCCGCGTCGCGTGCCCTGCAGCGGCCATCCCCGGCCACGCCACCCTTTCGCCCTCACGCCTAGGCCCTTCCGCTCCTGTAAGGGTCGGGCGGCCCGTGTGGCCAAGTCCTGCGGCAGTCGAGAGAAGGCAGTCTCCGACTGCGGCAGTCGGAGGGGCGCGGTGCGGGGTGGGGGGGGGGATCAGGGAAGTTTGCTGCTTGGGTGGTGAGGGGGAAGGTGAGAGAAGATGTGCAGAATTTGGAGATTGCATGGCCTCATGGTTTTCAGAGGTCCCTAATTGGTACTCGTACTCGTACTGTACCTATAGTGTATGTAATTATAGCGATGTTGAAGAATGCTGATTACATGGGCAAACCATATCGATCTATGCACCCTGTTATATAGATAAGCACTTACAACCATGGTAGGCTGTTGATTTGGTGTTATTTGTGGCTCCAGGTGCGAATGGTAATGCAGCAGCTCGTCAGGAGCTCAGTGGAAGATAAGGATAGAGAGAGGAGGGTGGTCGGATATTTCTAGAAGGCCCTGCCAACTTCTCCCGAGAAATGATACAGGAATCAATGAAAATGCTGATGGTCGGCATTTGTTTTGAGTACAATGCCGGCCGTCTCAGTTGGGATGTCCTTTGGTCATCTCAGCCAATCAGCTGCTTGCACCCAGGTGGGCCAAAGCCCTATGGAGCTGGCCGATTGCAAGGGGGGCCTCTTGGAGCAGGGATCGCCCCGCGTCGTACGTCAGGTGAGGCGTCGTACGGGGCCCAGGCAGGGCGAGCATGGCAAAGAGGTGACGTCCGACTGAGGCGTCAGGTTCAGCCTATTTGGCCACGTGACAGCTGGTTTGAGTGCGAGGGGGGTGCGGAAACCATGCCACGAAACGCCCCTAACAATCCATGTCATCCTTGCTTATAGTTATGTATCTCTAGACTGAGGCCTTTTTGGGGAGGAAGCCACTGCATGGGACCCGTGCAAGTGATAAGATTCATATATAGCATTTAGTCCAACGAATGTCCCGCTCAGCTGGCGGCCGTACGAGAAAACATGTCGCCGTCGGAATTTGCCATTTGAAGTTGCCGTCATGTGCCAAAACGCAAAACCCTCGTGGCTACCTGCCCTCCATCGGACGTGCGTTGCCCTGCTTGATGCCTGTGTGTGTGTGTGTGTTGGAATAGGGGAGAGGCCCCCCAAGTGATCCCAAATGACACCTGACGGGAGAAATCACGAATCATTCATGAAGAAGCAACCAAACCCCCGTGACACCATTCGAGTTTCCCCTATTTGAAAAAAAACAATGGAACCTTGGAACCTCCCCTCCTGTTCATCCCGGATGTTCACTGGTTGGTCCGGATGTTCACTTGTTGGTCCCGTTGACCGTCTCGTCTTCTCTCTAACCGAGGTGATTCGCCATGTGGGCCCCATGACGCCCTTGGGCGGTCTCGGGGAGCTCGAGGCCGAGGGGGCACAGAGGAGCGGTGCTTCACGGACTGGGCGCCGTCACCATTGTCTCTAGTGAGCTTGGCAAAAAGCCCAGGAAAATATGTGAGCGTATAATATGACAAATGAGCCCATGATGGTACACACATGGATGCCCATGGCACGTCGGACGACAGGCGAGGGGTGTTTGACCCAGCATCCAGCTTCTGTCGAGTGCCTCTTGAGGAGGGGCGTTGTAGCTGCACCCATTCCAGCGACGGCGAAACCCAGCCGATCATAAGCATCGGAAGATCGGAACCGGCGAGACGCCTTGCCAAGCTGAGGTCTGCGAGTCGAATCTGCCGTAATCCATCCCAAGATTGTGGGCTGTTCAAGTCCGCATCGCTATGTTAATGTGGTGGTTCAAGGGTTTTCATCGGTTTGTTCATCATTTGTCACCGTTCGCACTCGTCTTCGACTTCGCTGTGCTGAGGTGTGGACATCCGAAATGCTCAGCACATCGCCTGAAATACCCCGAGGCCGACCGCGCAACGAGCGAAGAGATGTCGGGTGGATATTTAGGGTGCTGTCCAACCTAGAAACCAAGGAGCTTCTTAAGATGGACCCCTTTTCAGAGGTGTTCAATAGTTCCCAGCTAGAGCCCAAGCACCTTCACCAGAACGTCATGTTGACAGAACAGCTGCTTGTCCTTTTTGCGTTTACTAATTGAAATGTTTGGGTCAAGTCTTTAACTGAGTCTGTCTGGTCTTTTGCTTATGCTCCCTGAACTCCATTTGGGCTGTTGTGTGGTTGCTTCACCTGAATGATAGGTGGAGCAATGGTCTTTTCATGTTGTGAACCCTCGTTCGATCGTCACCGTTCTTCCCAGCAATTTATGGTGAGATTAGGAACGGTGGTTGGTTGCCCAACACTTGGAACCCACGCCTGGTTCTTGAAGGCGTGCCCAGCAGAGAAACACAAGTACTGTACTATGGGGTTGTCCATTGGTAACCTTTTGGTCGTTTGGGCTATGGGAGTAGATGATTAACCCTCTTTGTACGCGGATCGTTTGGAGTATATGATCCTCTTGCTATTTGCAGCCATGGGAATAGACTGTGATTTGGCATATGCCAGCAAGAGTTCCCTCTTTGGTGCCACGGATCTGTAGAAAAACCTACAGGTCAGAATTAAGGTCCTTTGGCAGTGGCAAAGTGAACATGCTATCCTCCGGCTTTCGGGGCGGGAGCAATCATTAAGTCTGTGGCCCATCCGATGAAGTCTGGTCGTCCGCAGATTCGGGCTGGCTTTCGTGATTTCATCGCCGGGGGCCCCTGGAAGATGTGCGGTGGAGCAGGTGGGCGTAGCGATTTGGGTGTGGCGTCCCAAAAAAGAATATTGCACTCCCCAGCCTTTTCCGCAGGGCAGCCCAGCACATGATGAGCTGGCTGTGCGGCTGTGCGCGGTGTCCAGATAGGGGTGCCAGTGCGCACAGCCAGTGCTGGGTGCTGGTGCTTTGAACTGGCTGTGCCGGACAGAGAGGGCGTCGTTGCTGTAAGCTTGCTGTGCATGTACATTCTAGTCCCAGCCAGCCGCACGTCAACAGCTACAGAGTACTATAGAGCTCGACTTTTTGGGGTCCTTGGATTCTGCCTAGCTATTGAGCTCGGGTATCATGTGGGGCAACTGTTCTCCAACCTCGGCCACGCTTCGTCCGAGTCCAGGTCCGAGGAGTCTGATCACCACGCTTCGTCCGGTTCGTCGTACACCCGTTCCAAGGTCTCCAAGGTCCGCGATGCCCTGCGCACGCAGACGGTGTGGTGGGGACCGGAAGGCGTGTCGGGCCAGAGAGGTGGAGAGCGGTGTCCCACCGAGTAGCGGATCTATTTTTTGCCCATTGAGTAGCGGATGCCCTTGTTCCTAGTAGCGTCCTTTGCTCCTAGTAGTAAGGCCAGGAGCCCCTAGTAGCTTCTTGCTCTTACCCCCCTGGGCCTACGGAACAAGTTGGGGATTCAACATTGCATGGGCTGCTCAAGTTGTTCAATTAACGCTCAAAACAGCCGAGCAGCTTGACACATAGAACATTGCAAAAAAGCACTCTTGGAACAACACAAACTTAGACACTTAGAATCAACATTGTTGGAGTATTTCTAGCCTTTTCTGAGTCTGTTGGCAGGTTTTGTCTCAATAGCCAGTTTGGCCAGAGAATAAGAGCAAACAACAATAATATATATTAGACACGTACTTTTTCTATTTGTTTCTTCCAGCTTATCATTATCCTAGTTTCTCAAATACCAAGTGACGGACATAGGCTTATGAAGTGTTCCCTAAACTGTTCTAATTATGCACCTAGAATAGCTTATTCCATTTTCCCCAAAATCATCTAAAACACTTAGAACATTGACATAATGTTCTTAGACTAGGGCTCTGACTCTTTTGACAATGTTCTAAGTTCTAAGTGCAAGGATATATGTTTCTTTTTCGAAAACAAAATCTATTGTCCAAGCCTATGTCCGTCACTATAAACGCGAGCAATGTTGCACTTTTGTGAGGGGAAAGCGGACTGTATGGTGGGGATTGTCCTTCACGTTAGCAAATCCTTTTTACTTCAGAAGGTGTTTGGGGTGGGCTGGGAGGGTCTAACTGCTTAACCCTTCAAAAGGGGTTGCAGTGTTGGGCTGTGGGACTCAATTTGACCAGTCTGACCCCATCATTCACCAGGTGGTCAGCTTCACTTGGATGGTTGAAGAAACGGTGTAAAGAGGGGACAGTTCATTGACCTGAGACCTGACTGCATGTACAGCACTCCTTACAGATGTGGTAAACGAGCAAAGTTCCCTAAGCAAATAAATCTCCTTGAGAACATGTAGTGAACCTTTGAACGGTCCCATGTGTGACCTTTGATTTCGGGTTTCCAATGAAGAATGGTGACAACGCGACCAACCAAGAGACAGGTCACACATGGCACCTGTCAGGAGGTCATGTGGTCACCATACCCCTTTTGCCGTGCTTCCATTTTTGGTAGTGAGCTGCTACGGCTACGAGTGCTTTTCCCATGGGGTTCTGGCTCAAACGTAGTCCTTTCTGGTGCTGCCAAAGCCAAATCTCCGCTCCGACTTCGCTGGATCCGACGGTCGGATGGCGGGCTATGTGGCGCCTGCGACAAAGAACAAGCGGAGCCCTAGCCAAGAAACACAAAACCGTTAACATGTGCTTACTCGTTGGGATTAGACACATTCTCAGATAAATATTCAGATTGTGCACACCATTTGGAGTGGGACAATTCAGATACACGTTTTCATTGCTGGCTCAACCACGACAGTCATGAGATCACACTGTCCTTTCACTGATGGGTGGCTGGGGCCTACCCGATTCTAGCATGGCAATCATCTCGCTTTAAACATGTTTGGAACTTTGAACATAAATTCGAAGTTCAACCTGTTCAATCCTCGAACATGAGCCAGCCCATTGCTGAGGATCTTGGCCCTATTCGACGTCGACGGAACCTTGACGGAGGCCAGGAAGGTGGTCTCGCCTGAGACGGTGAGTTTCCTGCAGGCACTGCGGATGCTTGGGCCCAAAAGGCGTTCGCGATCCTTCGGGTTGACGTTATTTTTCGGGTTGATCCGGTGTAGTTTGCATATGTGTGTATAACATGCGTGGAGAGAGTATCATCCACGCGGATTCCTTATTTTTGTTTGGTTTGCAGATTGTGGAATATAGGTTTTTCATCGGTCAGCCCACGGGACTGAGGAATAAGATTTGCGTTGGCGTTGTTGGAGGCTCCGACCTGGTGAAGCAAAAGGACGTGTCGGCGATGTTTGTGCCAAAAGCACATGGCGAAAAACCACTTTGGACTGGAGTTGCTTAAAGTCATCCTCGGGAGTCGTCAGGTAATGTCGGGTATATATTTTCTAAGCAATATAAGTAGCAATACATGTAATTAAGAAGATGGAGACCATCCAAGATATATTGACATTCATTGACATTGAGAGCTTTGTGTTATATGTTTCAGGACGACTTGTTGCGTATATTGCGTATATGGCAACGCCCAACACATTTGTCGCGCCTGGTCGCTTCGTCTCACTGCTTCATGTGCAGGAGCAGCTGGGCGACAGCCCAGCCTTGTTTGACTACGCCTTCTCAGAGAATGGACTTCTTGCATTCAAGGATGGTCAGAAGATCGGCGAGACTTCGCACCTTGGCTGCCCGTCTCCACGTGTTCATTTTGACGGCTTTTGGCTATCAGGCCCCAGCGCAAAGTCTGGATCCACCGTGTGGGATTTGGGAGCGTCCGCAGGTCCCGGTCTAGACTCCACGAGCGGTCCACCTGTGACTCATCCTGTGACTCCAGAGGGTCATGAACGCATTTTGGACAAGTTGACGAGTGTGTTCACTTTTTGATGCCTGATGTCGTGGCAGAACATGTTTGGCGGAAAATTGATAAACGGAAACCTGCTTGCGAGGGAAGCGCAGTGAACTTAGGAGGGAATGCTCCAAGGGGCTAGGTGAAGCAAAGAGGTTAGCAGAAACTGGTAAAGACTGTGAGGTGACTCTTCTGTCGCACGTATAATAACATGACAATGTAACACACTACAATACAGTAGGTGATGGATCTTGACACCATGTTACTGTTGCACCAACGTTTGGAAGATCCGCTGACTCCACAGTGTTTCTTTGAGCGTGGCGTGCGGTGTGTTTTTCCAAGGAATTCTTAGCCTCTCCGGCAATATTGTGCAACCACAATATAGCATACGCTGTGGTTCAATAGGCTCATGTATGCGGAGGAAACTTGTTGGACCGGCATGATTTTTGAACAGCTGCGGGGTGACCAGCCAAGCCCAGCATCGGACACCGTTCAAGTGCTCGGCTGGGCTCGTGAGGATCGTTCAACATTTGGGAGAGGCGAACCTGAAAAAGGTCATCAACTGGGCCTTGAGGCTGCGCTGACTGACATGAGCAATGACGGCCTGCCCGGTGTCGAAAGCGAGGTGTTCGGAGGGTTATTGAGGCATGTGAGCACGTTCCCAAAAAATGCATGAAGCATGAGCAACCATGGAGGTCAATACCACCGAGGTATACCAAGAGACATGGTATGCCCCTCATTTTAGTCCTCCTTTTCCAGGGGAAGAAGTGATCTAGTGGAAGTTCAGAACCGGTCCCTGATCCTATTCGTTGACGCGTTGATGTTTCCAAGAATTCCCGACTTCTTCTTTGCTGTGCCAGAAGTGGTCCATGAAGCAACTAGCAGCTCCTTCCGAGGTGTTCTCTCGAGTTCTTGAACCCTAAGAGGTCTCATTTGGCAGTCGGTTGGGGTCCAGTGGTTGATCAGTTGATCCGGTTGATCTCCCCTGGAGATTCGACTGGAGGTCAGTGCTTTTCGGGTTCGCGATATTGTTTGATCTATCTATATATTATACACTACATTGTTTCACCAACACCAACTGCCTCCACATATTTTTCTCACATGACCTTGTCGATTTACACTGCAGAGCACTTTTTCACTTGAATTGCACGTTGTTGCCTTTGGACTCGTTTTCAGGTACATCGCAGACTTAGACATCCCAGTGAAGCGTGGCACGTTCGTGGAGTTCCGCCAGGGTATGCTGAATTTGTCTCCCATCGGCCGGAACTGCAGCCGAGAAGAGCGACACTTGACGGAGCGGATGGGGGCATGATCCACCATGTAGCGGTAGCTCGACCTGGGGCGACCCACAGCCACGACGACGGTGCAGCCACGACGGTGCCGCTTTTTCGCGATAGCTTGTAAGCCACGGTGGCAAGTTGCAAGACCAAAGACTCGCCAAAACGAAGAGGGTTCATGCACGAATTCCAGTACTTGATGGCTCATTGCAAGTTCCAGGCGTGTGGATTCGTAGATTTGGTAGGAACCTACAGGGAAGCATATCAAGGCAAAAAGCAAGCAAGAGCTGGAGTTTGAAATCGTACAGTTCAAGGATTGGTTGGTGTTGATTATCATGGTTGCACTATTGGACTATTGTTTTTGATCGCATCTCGCCTCGCTAACAAAATAAATAGCCATTGTAGGATGGTGGAAGACGACGGCTTGCTCTGAGGAAATGAGTTTGAGAAGTTTGATTTGGCCAGCAACATCCGAAAGACCATGGTGGAGAAGATGCACCCTGGGCTTGCTGATGAATATTTTCATACTTTGGGCTCACAGCACTGGCACTAGCACCCAGCACCAAGCACCAGCACCCATTTTCACCACCTGCCAGGCCCCCGGACCCGAACCAGCTGCGCTGATGTCAGAAAGAATTCCAGAATGTATGCCAGATGCAATGCCAATATAAATTTTAGTGGGCTGGATGGAATAATAGAATGCCACAACCGATGCCAAATAGAACGCCAATGAGTGCTACAATAGATGCCAAATAGAATGGCGGGGATCATTGGAAGGAAAGCTACCAGGTGCTTCCAAGGGGTCACTAATGGATATCTCCACACTACTTACAGTGGGCACCCCGACAGGAAGCGCTAGGTATGTTTCATGTTGTTCCTTTTTGCCCACGCGAAGCCGCTTTGGCCCGTTCTCCACAGGAAGGTGGAATTTGCGGACCTGGGGTTGACCTTCTCCATCGGCGTCCTGGCGGAAAACCGCGAGCGAACAGTGGCCTCAGCAGCGTTCAAAACAACTGGAACTTGTGGGTTCCATTGAAGAAGTATTACACTCGGTTTTAGCGTTTAGAGTAGGTAGCACAAACCCCATGATGTTCTTTGGATGGGGTGTCATATAAACAATTTTTCGATGGGGATTCAGCCATCCTACTCTGAAACCATTCTATGTTGGGTACATCGGGGAGGTTAGATCCCAGTCAGACAAGGATTGATAGATTGAGGAAGCCACTGAAACCAGTTGGCATTCAATCCCAAGGCCTTGAGGGTGTATATCGAGCACTATTCACGGCCAACATGGGCCTGCCCTTTTTGAACCAAACTGCAGTCATATAATAGGTTTCGTACGGTTTCATGGCTAATTGTTTGGGCCTGGTCCACCAAACCATGTTGGCTCACCAAGCGGAGCTTCACACACGCACGCTTTGAAAGCAGACCCCCTACACTGCTGAGACTGCAGTGCCAGTTTAGATACCGTCTTGTGGGTGATGAGAGGTTCCTTCGTTTTTTTGGTTACAGTATGTACGGATTCGTGTGGACAACTGGTTCACTGGCGGCCAGCTTGTGAAATGCTCAGCCTCACTGCAACGGACACAACATTGCTTGGCACACAAAGACATGGAATCAGCATGAATCAACCCTAGATGGTTGCTCATGTCCCGCTTATCCGACTCGAACCGCGAGCGTGCCACGGAGAAAAGCTTCAGCCACCTGCGGGTTGCTAGGTGGCCAGATCTCCTTCGACGTCTTTCCCACCGGCTGGGACAAGACATACTGCTTGCGGTATCTGCCGGAGGCAGACTTCGATGAAATCCATTTTTTCGGCGACAAGACCTTTGAAGGCCTGGGAGAAGGTATATAGTTTTCACAGAATGTGTTTTTGTTGTATTCATTGATGGTTGACTAATGTTAGGCAGGGAGTCTTATTTTTATGTGTCAATTACTGTATGGGAAATATCATTGTCCCAGATTCCTTGTACAAATCTAAGGCGGCAATGATTTCGAGATTTTTACACACCCACGAACCATTGGCCACAGCATCTTGGACTCAAGTTACTACCTGCCCACGAGACTTGGCGAACGGAGCGTCTCATAGCATCTCCGGCTATTGAGGATCACGGCATTCTTGCTCGCTTCCTTCGAAATGCAGGGGGCCGACCCCATTGATGATTTTTAAGTTATATCATATTTTATATTAATTGGGTTTGCCCTATTACCTGTAACAGTCAGTAAACAATTATCACTATTTTTGAACAAGGCCTTTACTGACCATCATCATCCACTGCTACAGGTATTAGGATAGACTCAATTACCCCACTGAATTATAGTTTGATGGCTACCTTGGACCGAGCCAGGGAATGAGGTGATTTCCAACAAGGGTGGGGCCATGTTTGTCCCCATGTGGGACCACATGCCCGACAGCTCGTACCATCGAGTGGAACCAGAATTCGTGGAACCAAATATCGGCACCACCATCCAACCCGGGTGCTGAAGATGCCGGCATGAGAAGCCACTTGAACCTACTCGTTGAGAAGTCGGGGGGATCGTGACCAAACTATTTTCGTGGTCAGACATCGTCAGACTATGTGCTTCCTGTGGCGATTGCCATACTGTTCAATAGTTTTTTCTCCCAGGGATTGATGATTCTCCTCCATTGCTGTCCCCAAACTCGGGTAGTGTTGATCAATTGTCATCATAACCAACCGTGACGATACGGATACGGATACGTTCGGGTATTGATCAACAACCTGGGTTCAGGGCATTGCCATATCATCAACCCCGCCGCCATGAGCATGTGTGACTCCAGGCATCGATGATCAACAACCTTTGACAACTCTGAAAAAGCTCGAAGAGCTTTTTGGCGTCCCGGCGCCCAAGTCCTTGACTCCGCCCGGCGCGCACTGAGCAAGGGTGCGAAGAAACCAGCGGAGAGGATGCAAAAAAAGGGACCGCAACCATGTCGTTGCTGGGGAGCGAACGGTTTTCCGGGGAACGGGTGACGTTTTCGTGAATGGGCCAGAAGTTTTTGGAGGAAATGATTACTGGAGGTCATTGTAGGTCCAGATGCGGTCCTTGATGGATGCAGGAAGGCATTCTACCTACGGGGGGAGAGTCATTACAACTGGGAAACAACTACCGTATAGTTGATCATTGATCATCCCTAACCCGCTCAACGGGAACATGCTCAACCCAACTTGATCGTCACGCCGTACAACTAGGAACATGTTAGTATTTGGCCAACTCCTACAACCCCTCACTACAGTCCCCAAACAAATTCTGCCTAGCAGTGCTAGATTCTCCTGGATGAAGTCGCCCCCCCTTCCGAGCACAATCAACCTAAAGATCGACATGTAGGACTACACGGCATATTCATGCACGTGCTTAAGAACATGTCGCATGCAGATGACCAAACAGCACGGAACACCTGTCTACACGCCGACTTGCAGTGATACCACCGGGCTATGTAGACACCATGCCCCACCAAATCCCACGACCGCTGTGGTCCCGCCGGAGAGTCGGAGGGCCGTCGAATGGCGCAGAGGCCTCCGCTATGTGTCCTTGGGCAGCGGCGAGCTGCTCTTTGACCTGGACTGATGTCTCAAGGGTGTGCAGAATGGAACCCAGTGGAGACATACACATGACATCACATGACCCCGGTTTGCAGAATAAGAAATCAAACAAGTAGTGGGGGAGAGAAGGTCAACGGCGTGTTTGGGCCGAATAAGAATAAGTTGTATGCATTATACAATTATGAGTCAACTAAGGAAATAACATCCCGTGTGTCGCTCTTTTCCTTGGTGGTTGTTCATTACGCGTGGACCGCAAACTTCCCTCTCCAATCCGAGCTGGAGAGATGAAGTTCGGGGACCCTGATCAGCCGGCCATATGGACGCTTATGACATATGAGTTATAGATACTTATATAGTTTCTCCACACACTTGCTCCTTTCCGAAAATGTATGTTACATGTTTGTGCAGGTTGCACATTGCCTTCTTCAGAGTCCTGTTATGTTCCATTCTCAACGGACGGTGCACATCGGACGGAATGATTTGGGCTGCGCTGCGCGCTGCGATTTTCAAGGAGCTGCTGGAACGGCTGCGGGAAGAGGCAGGTCGGAGGGTGGCACCGCTTCGGAGGTTCCGAGGACTTTCCAGACACTGGATGTTGGTCTCAAACGACACTTAGGCAGCTTGAAGTGAGGAAGGCGCTGGGCTAGAAGGGGAAGGTCTTGATCCGGAAGTCTCACTTGTTGGCTCAGACAATCCGTGGTTTGAGTTCAAACATGCCACGTGACTGTCCTATTTCAGCACTAGTACGCGGGAGGGACGGTATTGAAACTAGACGACGAGTGGCCCGAAAGCATTTTTCATCACATAGGAAGTCAGAGTGTGAGTTATCTGTTAAGTGATCAGTGTGAAGTGTTACGTCGAGTGAGTTGAGGCAGTGTGTGGGTCTCTGTGTGTGTGTATCTGTGTCTGTGTGTGTGTTTGAGTCTCTGTCTGTGTGTGTCTCCGAGTAAGTTGAGGCAGTGCGTGGGTCTCTGTGTGTGTGTGTCAACCTCTCAAGAGAGCCGGGTGGTCGGGAGACATGACTCAGCTGCAGGGGCGCCAGAGCAGCTGCGAGAGATGACTCAGCCGCGAGAGATGACTCATCCGCGTACTAAAGTTGTACTGCAAAGTCGCCAGTTCTCAGCTTCCAGCTCCACAGATTGCTCCGCGTACTAAAGTTGTACTACAAAGTCGCCAGTTCTCATCTTCC